TGACAACAGATTATATAACTACCACACCCAACTCCTCCAGACAGACAGGGCAGAGTGGAAGGAAGTCAGACTGGCTACGGCGAATTCCCAACACACAAGTCCCAGCTTAGGACGGATCTCCAGGAAGATTCCCTGTTTATAGAGGGGCCAAATGATAATATGAGAGTAGGCAGTCAGTAGGCAAAGATGGCTTTTGCATCAACTCCCTAAGCAAGTTCCAAAGGCTGCCCAGGGGCCATGCACTGCCTATGGGCCATGGGCAGGAGCTGCTGACAGTAGCTCTGCCGTGAACCCCAGACAGACCATGCATGAAGCTTCCCTTTCGTAGTCCACGAAACTCTCATTCGCCCCTGGAGGGAGTGTAAGGACTACTTTGGAAAACCCGGAGGATTGAGAACACGGGCCTCTGACTCTCAGCTCCACACCCCGTAGAACTGGGATCATATGTGCCCCAGAGACAGGACGGAATGCTCCCAGCAGCTTCCTTTCTAAGAGCCTCAAGCTGGAAGTGAGCCCAAGTATCCATTAACAGCAGACTGGATAAATAAATTATGTTACAGGTATAAAATGGGATACTACACAACCATGAAAATGAATGAACCAATCTTCAAAAGGAATCACGGCGTGAAAGAAGCCGGACACAAAGTAATGCATCTTGTTCTTGCTGGTCTGATGAAGTCTGGTGGCACCTTGGAGCCTATCACCCTTAGGGACCCTAGACCTTCACCTAGACCTGAGCTCACTGCCATGGCTCCACTTTCAGTGCCGTGATAGGCCTGTCAGGTAAACAATCGCGACACAGAGGTACACACTCATGAGACCAACCACACGAGGTCCAAAGGGCAGCATTTCCCCGGGCGTGAGAAAGCAGGAAGGGCTAGGACAATAGGATGAAGGGAAATGACAAATGCAGGACAGAAATGGGAAATGCCTGGGGATGGCCACGGAGGTCACAAAACAGAAGGTATCTGAACTGGTGACTGGAAAACCAATCGGCTCTGCAAACTTTCATTCACATTGCAATTGTTTAAAACTTTTTTTTAAGTTGTGAGATTGTCCATTTAAATGTTAAAAAAACAACACGCCCGTGAGTTGTTTCTGACTCCTGGAATACCCATGTGTGACAGAGTCTGACTGAGCTCCGCAAGGTTCCTGGGCTGTCATCTTTACCAAAGCTGACGGCCAGGCCTATCCTCCATGGCCCCACTGTGTGGGTTCAAACCACCAGTCATTCTCTTTGATGGCTACAAACCATGCATGCCACCCAAGGGCCTGTGGTTCTGCAGATACGAAGTTCAAAAGCAGTCACAACTCCCCTGGTGATGACAGCAAACAGGTGACAGGGCCATGGAGGGAAGCAGAGCTGTGATTACCACAGAGTCAGCAGAATGAGCATTTCTGGGGATAAGAGGAGAGTTAGGATTGAGCCGGGGCATACCAAGGAGCTTCTGACATACTGACCCAAGTGGTGAGTACATGGTTCTACCATTATTTATCTTTACACATATACATGTATGTGCATATCTGTCTTACATACGTACACACTGCAATGCAATGGCTCATATGGTCTTACAATCCACGGTTTTGATGATTCGGTAGGGCTGTGCTGAGAATCTTTGGGTCAGAGGCTTCCTGGTGGGGTGGTACGTCTCTGAGTGCTTACTGGTGAAGGTAAAAGGGTTTGTAACGTTTGACAGAGCGGGGCAGTGCCCACGTCTAAGGGTCGAGGGACCAGGAGTGGAGGGAAAGGCCTGCCTTTGGTCATGGCCCAAAGCTGTCTTGACTGAAGAACTGTATCCTGACTTGTTCCTTATCCTGAACTGCACCCTTTTATTCCCCTAATGAACCCCATAATTGTGACTATTGTCTGCCTGTGAGTTCTGTGTAGCCATGGTGATGAAATATCAAACCCAGAAAAGAAGTTGACTGCATTGGAAGGGATAGCTGAGGTCACAATTGATGGAGAAGTTGGAAGGTGGAGGTATGTTTCACCTCCACCTGACCCGACTCTACCTCGGCTGCTCTCTCCTGCCCCTTGTGGCGTCCGGTGACATCAGCGATATCATGTGTGCTGCATTTCACAATTTAAAAGTTAAAAACAAAACACCGCCTGTTCGTGAAGAATTTTAAAATCCAAAGTCATTCAAAGGGGGATACGATGAAAATCAAATCTCCCAGGCTCTTTCTTGGAGACAAACTTGCCGGGCAGGGCCTCGGCTACTTTTTCAGAGATTTTCTATGCAAAGGATTCCGTTTTCAACAACCAGCTTCCCAACCATCCGGTTACAGAGGATTTCCTCGGAGTGACCGAAGCGGAGGACCAGGAATGAGGTCTCCCGCATCCTGAGCTCCCAGGCTGGGGAGGAGGGCAGTCACCTGGAAGGAAGTGGAGTCCAAGAAGGGCCAGGACAGTTGGCAGGGTTTCAGCAGGGGACCCAGCTGATGCTCCCTCCATCCAGGGGACGTGAATGAGGGAAGCGGGGGCTGGGTGAGGAAGAGCAAGGGTGCCTGGGTGCAGAGCTCGGGGACACGTCTCTGAGAAAGCCGACTGCCGCCCTGCAGGCCTCAGCAGTGTCCAGGCCCACGCTAGAGGGAAGCTACTTGCAGTGGGGCCATAGAGGTCGGATCCTTGGGAAACACAGGGCTGGCGGCTGTAGAGAGTGCAGCGGGGAAGGATGAGGGCCTGCCAGGGGAGGCCGTAGTAAAGCTGGTCCCCAGGTGGAGCAGCTCCACACAGGTGTCAACCCAGAAACTCCCGCATCGTCTGTGGGAGGGTCCCCCTTGGGAACCTGCCTGTCAGTTCCCGGACCTGAGGATTTGATCAGCTTCCTGCCAGTGGTTGGAGCAAGGGGTTAACCAGGACACTGGGGTGGACATTTCATGTGGTGAAGTGCCAGGGACAGGCGAGGAGGCCGGCTCTCGCAGCTCCGGGTCAAGACACCAACAGACATGAGCTTCCGGGAAGCTCTGGAGTGAAGCTGCCTCTGTCCACAGACCACAGACACACACACCCCTCATCAGTTCCAGACCGGCTCTGGCCACTCAATCATCAAGGGACTCCTGGTTACTAAGCAACCCCTGCCTTACCTTCTGCATCTCCCGCGTTCCTTAGCAACCCTTGCATAACCCAGTTCCCTCCAGTGAGGGGTCGGTATCTACAAAGCGTCAGCAAATGGGCGTTGCTCGGAAGTATGCGGACATTTCTGAGCAAAATAGTCAGCACTCGGTGTCGAGTTGAAGGTCACTAAGCGCTCCGCTTTGGGATGGACAGCCTGGGTTTCCAGTGCACGTCTTTTCTGATAGTATATTTCCAAAACAAACAATCGACGACAAAAACACCTGGCGTGGGCCCCCGGCCGCCTCCCTCTTCTCGCGCATTGCTTTCACTTGCTCTCGCTGGCTGGCTCACTCCCCGCTGGCTCTCCCTAGCGAGCAAGGTCTCCTTTCTGCAAGGTCAAATGTACCGTCTTACGTTTCCAAGGGATGGGGGGCTTTCAACTCCACATTGATCTACCTTTCCTAAACAAGACACCAGATTTTAAGCCCTGCTCTGTGCCCCCTGGGGGCCCTTCCCCCCAGCTGCAAGCACAGATTAACCCCCACCAATGTCAAGGGAATCCAGTCTCCTTGGCCGAGAAGGTAGGAGAAAGGACTTGCGTTTTGTCGGCACGGAGCACCCCCTGCTGGAAAGTCAGAGTTATAGCATCTTCGAGAAGTCTTTTTTTTCCCCCTCCATCTCTGAGCTGGGACCGCTGGAGCACAGCGGTTCTCCCTAAGATCTGCCAGGAGACCGTCCGCAGGAAAGCTGCCCTGCCTGCAAGTGGAGTGAGGAGAGGCCTGCCTGGCCTCGCTTCTGCCTGCTGTCTCCCCTTCTTCCAAACAAAGGCCCGCCCTCTTTGCCAGGGCTCTGCTTTTGAGCAGCTTGCAAGGCTCTGGGCTCAGACTTAGTCTCTGGCTCTCAGACTGGAAGGTCCTGGGACCTCAGTGTGACTCCTGGCCCAGAATGGCCCTGTCTGCTCAGACCTCGCTTTCCACCTTGATGCCCAGATTTGCCAACGGACAGCCGAACAGATACACACTCAACAGTGCCCTCTTGGAGCCCTGGAGCCAAAGACAGAAGAGGAGGGAGAAGAAGGGGTGGGGGTTGAAGGGGAAGCTACGGAGAGCCATGGAATAGTTAGAAACGTTGCCATGGAGAAAGAGGGAGACTAGGGAGATGGCAGCAGAAGCTGTGTGATCGTGGGCACGTCTGTTCCCCACTCTGGTCTCCAGTGCCCTTGTTCTTCAGTGGGATGAGGGGCTGGGCTGGCTGGTCCTAAGGGCTCGGTCATGAG